TATATATATATATATATGTTTTCTCACAATTATATGCATAGATGAAAGTGGACGAGGAAAATAATATCTCAACCAACAAGTGGAAATAATTGTAACAAAAATTTAACACTTGTTCTGTACTTCTGCTAACCACATGGTCAAATTATAAATAAGCGTACAACAACATTATAATTGCAGGTAACATGAATTCAATTTTGGTGAAGCTCAATACGTCAAATTTACCAATGTCATCCTTCCACAGTTCCACCAACACATAAAAAGTGTAAACTCCTCAAATTTGGCAAGAATATTGGAATTTGGCACGTGTATTGATTGTTATAACTTATAAGTGATTCTCTTTTTAGTAACTAAACAAGACCAATACTGAAACTTTACATATTTGTCACAGACAATAATACGCTAGCTGCAGAGTCAAACTACTCGCGTTCAGAACATACAAAATTTCATAATGTCTCGTGAACACTTACATACGGCATTCGACACTAGATCCATGGTTACAGAAAGGACAACTGAAGACAGTATCCAGTTTGTCCATCCGCTTCTTTGGGGGCGGCTTTGCCCTTGACTTCCTCTTACCCATCTCTCTCAATTGAATCACAATTCTTCAGTACTGTAAACATGAAATGGGAACTCAATGTCAAAATAAATCATCATTAATCACAGAAAAAAAGAGTTAAAAATCGAAAAGAAAAGATCTTTCCGGAGAACAAGCCTCAAAAAAGAACGGGAAACCCTCAGAACTGAAAAGAAAAGATCTTTCCTGTGGGAAAGACTCAAAAAAGGTATCCAAACAGAGTAAATCACAAGAGATAACGACACACTTCAACCAAGAACACCCCAAATAGCACGTCTAAATGCACCCTTCTTCCTTTCCATCAGGGAAAACTGTTGCAGATCTAGTGAACCAAATTTAGGAACTATAATGCAAGTACGAAACTTTTTCCAGCAATTAGGGTACAAAAGATAAACTGACGAGTGGCGATGGCGATGGCGATGGCGAAAACCCTAGGTACCCGATCAGATCCATTAAAACGCTGGGACTGTAACACTGTGCTAGGGATTTCATCAAACAAGTATCGAATTGATCATACTAACACATTTACACCTCAGAACTAACCAAATACTATAAATTGTTAGAAACCTAGCTGATAAAATACCTAAAAAAAAGTAATACAGATAACCCACCCAAACAACAACAGAACAACAAACATGATGAAAGCATGAAAATGGAAAATTGAAATTCTAGGGGAAATTAAATCGAAAATTAAAATAGATAAATAAAGCAAAATAGTGCAACGCTTACCTTGGAACGCCTGGTCCTGGGTTTTTCGCAAGGTATCGAGCAGTAGCCGCAGTACACTAACCGAGCAAAAGGGTGACCAATTTAATATTGGACTTGTTTTGTAATCTAGTTTATAACTGATAAGCTATTTTATAGTTCAAATTAATTCGGAACTTAAATGTTATAAACTATCAAATTAAGTCCTAAAATTAATAAAACTCATAACACCCTTAAATTGAGAGTTTTAGAAAAAAAAAAAAAGGATTGGTGCTTACTCACATAAAATAATAAGTAAACATTTGCATAATAACAAACAAAAAAAACAGAAATAAACGATAACAAGAAAATTGAGCAAGAGCTTCATACTTTACTTAACTTTATCCAACAATCTCATATTTTCCTTAACTTTTTTCATTTTTTTCTTTTTTTCTTTTATTTTGTAATATATTTGTTGTTTAAAACTTCAAATTAATTCTCAATTTAATTTTGTTATGAGTTTTATTAGTTCTATGAATTTTTTATAGTTTTATAACACTTAGATCTTTGAGAAAAAAAAGCCCCAATTTGATAGTTTATTTATCTTTCAGTCTTGTATTGTTTTTTTTTAATGTCTCGATAACGCCAATGAAACATTAGGATGTTTGATCTCACTTCGGTGGCATTTAAACCCATATATGTCCACAAAAAATTTAAATAATATTATATAAC